TTTTTGGTTATGAGAAAAGGCATAACCCTTTCACACACACATTATGTTCTCTCTGTTATTATCCAAAAGCGTAATTTCTCTGTGGGATCCCCAAGCCCTGGGTGAGGGCAGGTTTGTTTTTGGGTGTGACAAAAGGCATAACCCTTTCACACACACATCAGCTTCTCCCTGCTGTTATCCAAAACTATAATTTCCCTGCAGGATCCCCAATTCCTGGGTGAGGGCAGGCTTAATTTTGGTTATGAGAAAAGGCATAACCCTTTCACACACACATTATGTTCTCTCTGTTATTATCCAAAAGTGTAATTTCTCTGTAGGATCCCCAAGCCCTGGGTGAGGGCAGGTTTGTTTTTGGTTATAGGAAAAGGCATAACCCTTCCACACACACATCAGCTTCTCCCTGTTGTTATTCAAAACTGTAATTTCTCTGTAGGATCCCCAGTTCCTGGGTGAGGGCAGGTTTATTCACCAGGATAAAGCAGCTCCAGAGAACCGATGGAAGGGGCACCATCATGTAAAAAGCACATTTTCCTGCAAGCCAGATCCACCTGGTCCTGAAGCAGTGATTTCACAGCTGTGGTTTATCACCTCTGCTCTAATTGCCTTCAGGCTGTCCATGGGGGTCTGAGGTGGATGTTCAGAGGCAACCCCGGGCTCCCCACACTCATCCTCACCCTCACTATCGGATTTTCCTTTTGGGTTTAAGGGAGGGAGGAGTGTGAGTGGCCGTCCCTAAGGAGAACTTCAGCCAAAGAGTTTTCCCCTGGATTTGCCAAGATTTCCCTGCCACACAAACAACAACAACAACAACAAAAGAGCCCGAGGAGAGGAGGGAAGAAGGAAACCTGCCCTCCTGTGCTGCGGGAATTGCTTCCCGGGACGGGGTGGCACTTCGGGGGTGGCACTTCGGAGGGGTGGCACTTAGGAGGGTGGCACTTTGGAGGGGTGGCACTTTGGAGGGGTGGCACTTTAGAGGGTGGCACTTTGGAGGGGTGGCACTTTAGACGGGTGGCACTTTGGAGGGTGGCACTTTAGAGGGTGGCACTTTGGAGGGGTGGCACTTTAGACGGGTGGCACTTTGGAGGGTGGCACTTTGGGGGGTGGCACTTTGGAAGGTGGCACTTTAGAGGGGTGGCACTTTGGGGGGTGGCACTTTGGAGGGGTGGCACTTTAGAGGGGTGACACTTTAGAGGGTGACACTTTGGGGGGTGGCACTTTAGAGGGGTGGCACTTTGGAGGGTGGCACTTTAGAGGGTGGCACTTTAGAGGGTGGCACTTTGGAGGGGTGGCACTTTGGGGGGTGGCACTTTGGAGGGTGGCACTTTAGAGGGCTGGCACTTTGGAGAGGTGGCACTTTGGAGGGGTGGCACTTTAGAGGGGTGGCACTTTAGAGGGTGGCACTGGGGGTGGCACTT